AGAAAATGAGCACCTTCCAGAACTTAAGTGCCGGCCATGGTGATGGTGTGGGCCGCCGTAACAGCCGATGGTCGCTCTCCGCTCGTATTAATCGGCATCAGACTAAATGCCGAATATTATGGCGAAAATATTCTGGAGGATGTAATAAAACTTTGGGGCACCCAAACATTTTGGCAAACAAAGCAGCTATGCTCGGCCGGGCCAAACTTTTAATACCCACCACCATTTTTAAGGAACTTTGAAAAATTAAAAAAGATCTGTAAAAAATACCTCTCAAATGAAACCCCTAATGTGGGGGCTATACGAAGACGTTTTCCTTTATAAGTAATTTTTGTCATAGGCTGTAGAAACCATTGCGAACTACATTCCTGAAATTTGAAACAATTTTGGTGAATAATACCGCTAAAATCATCAAAATACCGAATATAGGAAGGTGCGGAAATATGGGAGCCATACGAATACTTAGACCTGCATACACGGTTTCTTGTCATAGGCTGTAGTACCTATTACGAACTTTAAATACGAAATATGAAATAATTCCGGCAAAAAATATTGCTAAAAACATCAAAATACCGACGATTGGGGGCTATATGAAAACGTGGACCTATATGACCCTGCCTACTGGCAAAATACACATGTGTGCAAACTTCAGCCTTCTATCTCAGTTCGTTTGATAGATAGCATGTGCACCTTCGGTTGGCCAAAAGAACTCAAGCGACGGCCATGGTGATGGAGTGGGCCGCCATAATGAGGTTCCTCGCTTCATTTCCTGCGCACAATGACCACAAAAATCTCCGGATACCAATCCGTTGGACTATTGTGTCTGGAGTGTTTTTAGTGCAAAGTTGGCACTAAAAATACCAAAGTGTCGGTCACCTCAAGCAAGCGCTTCGCCAGGAATGGACCAAAATACCGCAGAACAACATTCGGCAGCGTGTGTCGGTTTCATTGGTCGTTTGAAGGCCATAATTGGTGCCAAAGGTGACCAATTCGAAAAAATCTGAACTTATTCTAAAATTTGATGATATTTCCGACATTTTTTCATTCAATAAAATTAAAAAAAATGTTAAAATTATGGCGTTTGACTTTGTTGCAGATTTTTTATCTCACCCTGTACTGTCCATAGAATGGTGGAGGGTATAAAAATCGAAACGTTAATTGACACCCTCAGCATTTGCTGCTAAAATGGCATAAAACCATTCATTTATGACAAATTCAAAACCACACTTTAACAAAAAAAGATTCCACCCGCATTCCATGAGACCCAACTGTACAAAATATATTTGTTCTATATTTGCATTGTGTCACACACATACATACACACTCCCCCACATTCACTCTGCATTCCCTCACTCGCATGGACACATGTTTATAATTAATAATTGTGTACTCGTTAGGGTACATTTTTAGAAGTAGTACTCATAGTCACAGTCGTCGCCGTCAGCCAGTCAGTCAGCAAATGTAGTTGACGTACTTGAAGAGCAGAAGCGTAAGTAGCGAGCATGCAAACATTAAAAATTTAAAATGTTCAAAGCGAAAAAGGAAATACAGGAAAAGAAAACATTAAACATTTAACAGATGACAATTTGCATTTTAAATATTCCAAAAAAAAATAAATAAAGCAAAGACGAACGGTGATTCAAAAAACAACAATGACAAAAATAAAGAACTGAACAATATAACCGTAAATAGCACCCTTGAAAGAGTTAAACAAAAGTGTTAGGGGTGGATGAGAAAATGTAATCAGGAAACATGTAAGAATCTCATTTGAGAATTTGAATTTAAAAAACAAACATATGAATATATTTGTACAAAGGTATACTGAAGTATATGACATATGTTAGGGCAATTTGAATATCTACATCTGTTTATATGTGTGTAAAGAGTTACTTTTGTAAAGTTTGGAATTGTAATTTATATATGCATTTATACACTTATATACAAATATAAATAAGAGCAATGATTCCTTGATTTGAGTGACAAGTTTTTGAATTATCCACGCCCAGACGAGGTAACTGAATTTAGAACTCTGAGAAACTCTACAAAAAATATTTTCACAGAGTATTTAAATGGTATCAATATTTTGTATTAAGCATCTAGAGAACAATAGTATACGCCAGTGTTTTAATGAGGTATGTTCTTTTTTGGATCCGAAAATACACACGGTGGCAAGTAGGGATTCCAGTAACCTGCGGTCCAAAAATTGATTTCATTGACATTAACATTTTTAGTCGAGGGTAATGCATCCTAAGACTCAGATTCTGAATTAGACAGCACGCGAATAAAACCGTTACCGAAAAAACCAAAGCAGAGGAAAATTAGAAAGGTGGTGCATGTATTGAGAGGGAGAGAAATACGAAGATTGCAAAAGAACAAAGTAAGTTATCTGTCGCTATAAAGTCGATGATATGGAAATACATAAACATGGTCACACTTTTTGAAAGCGGTACATATATCGGAATTCCTGAAGAGCAGGATACTGTGAATAACCTTGAGGAACGGATCTTTTCGCTCTCAGAAGTTTTGAACCTATGACATATCATATGGAAACCATTGCACATGACAAAAAATATCCTCAACTCATCACTATCATTGGTTGAATATCACATGTAGACATAGATGTGGCACGCTCAATTCTAACAAGGAAGAATGCTAAGTTCGTCCAAGCTGAAATTATAATACCCTACACCATTTGAAAGGAATTTGGAACTTTTCAAATGAAATTCGTTATATGGAGGCCATACGAAGACGTGGATCTGCATAAGTATTTTTTTCTCATATGCTATAGTACCAATTCCGAACTTCACTATCGGGAGGTATCGTTATACATGCGCAATTTTCTCATAGGCTGTAGTACCCATTAAGATCTTCATATACGAAATTTAAAACAATTTCGGTGAATAATGCCGCAAAAAGCGTCAAAATACCGAATATAGGAAGCTACCATTTTATGGGACCTGCATAGGAAATTTTCGGTGACAGGCTGCATCTATTACGAATTAACAATACGAAATTTAATACAATTCCGGTGGCTATTACGAATTTACAATACGAAATTTAATGCAATTCCGGTGGCTAATGTCGCTAAGATTATCAAAAACCGAATATAGTAAAGTACCTTTATATGGGGGCTATTCGGCCTTTTTTATGTAAAATCCATAGCAAAAAAAAAAATTGCGGATGCGTCGAATACCTGTTTTTACATAAAGGAGTTGCCAGATCGAAACAAAATGTATAACAGAGATGGAAGTTTTCAAAACACCCTCCACCATACACCATATGTTAAAGCTGTAGTGACCTCTCGTACTAAATGTCATTGCTTTGGAGGGTATATTTCAACTTTGAGAAGGCTTAGATATAAAATGGCATAAAACATATGTATGAGAGCTATAACTATAAAGGAGTTGTTTTAGTACAAATATGGCAGACTTTAGTCTTGACGGAATTTTATCGTATGATACAAGACACAACCAAATTAGACAAAATAGCGCAGTTGGGGGTCTCATTTACAAAAAATTGAGGAGAGTATATATGGGAGCTATATATAAATCTGAACCGATTTCGACCAAACTTGTCAAAAGTATTCCTAAGCTGTATCTGATACCACGTACCGAATATCATTGTTAAAGAGTTTATATTACTACCCTGAAAGAACCACATCTATAATCGGATGAAACTTATATGTGGGAGCTATATATTTTAACCAAAACCTAAAACAAACTTTGGAAGTTCTACCTCGACCCTGTGATTTTTTGGCTCACAAACATGTCATTGGCCCCATAGTGCTATGGATGACAAATCAGATCTAAAGAATTGATGACTCCATTTCGCTAAAAATATATATGTAATGTACATACATACAACTTTCAAGGGATATTGAATCTTTGCTATCCTCAAAATTATTTAATATCCATAAAAAAAAGGCAAATGTTAATACCTGGCTGATCCATAAATTAAATCTGGCTCCATATGGATTATTGTATCCTCCATCTTAAAATCCCCCAAAAATAACCTGCCCATCCTCCCAGACATAACATCCCATTAAAAATGCATGCCCCCGCCCATCGAAAAACAAGTGCAAATGAAAAACGAAAAGTTTTCTGTGCTAAAAATATCCAAAAGTCATTGACAGCAAATGAAATGTAATTAATTAAATAATCTCGTTCGAATCAAATTATATTTGAGATAACATCGCAACCGAAAAAAGGAAAAAAAATAGAACATATCAACTTCCCAGACTAAAGAGGCAAAACAAAAGGAAATGAAACAGAAGGAAACAGGACAATTAGGTAGGCACTTGGTATTTACTAAACATTAACGGAAGCGCCAGAACAAAGGCAAAATTCGAAACAAAGCAAAGAAAAAAACAACATTACGCCATCCATTACGTCCACTTAACGTTCGGCTGCTACAACGTATCGGAGAAGAACAAGAAGAAGTAACGCATACAACCATACAAATGTGCGATGTGTGATGTATGTACAATACAATGTCTGCGCACACATATATACATACATACGTACACACGGAGAACAGCATTGATAATCTGGGAGTAGAAACGAGGGGTGGTATGATAAGGCAATAATAATGCGTTGTGGTTGGTCTGAAGTGTTTGATTTGTTGCGGTTTTGGACAAAAGGCAATGAATGAATGGCGGTGGTGGTGGCGGTGAATGGCGGGAGACTTTTTGGAACAAAGACCTAATTTTGTATTCTTTCTTTTATATGTATGTGATGTGTTATGCGTGAAAATATGTACGAACAGAAAGGTTTTTGTGCAAAGGCAATGAAGGTTGGTGACACAATGTGTATGCGTGTGAATGTGTGTTGCATGTAATGAGTAAGCGATTTGTAATGCGATGTGATGTGGAGTGAATTGAGCGAGTGTTATGGTTAGTAGATTGGTTATTGCTTTGCTGTTGCTATTGTATTGATAGTTAGCGGTACTTGTTGTTGTAGTTGTTAGTTAGACCAAGAAGTTGAAGAATTGTGGTAGTTTACCTGACTTAATGCTGATGGCATAGACTTCATCGTATGAATATTTACCGGCAATGGTGGAATGCCAGTGATTCCACTTGTTCCACTCAACAGCTTGTCCACCGTCGAGGTACCCGCATGTCCGGCGCCATATGCCGCCGATGCAGCGGCAGCCGTTATGGCATGACTGCTCATGCTCGAGGAAATGCCACCGATTGAGTTTGGCACTAAAGCCGATATGGATGTTAGACCAGTGCCCGGAGCGTGTGCCGTAGTTGCCGATAGGCTGGATACAACACCGCCGGGTGCACTACTGCCATTGGGTAGACTTGAGGTAAGGGCCGATGAATAGCCAGTTAAAGCACCGCTACCAATTGTGCCGGCCGTTACGCCGGACGTGCCACCCAATACAGCTCTCTTATAACGATTCAGTTCTTCTTCAAGTTCTGCAATAAACCAAAGCAATGATGAATTACGTTTGGGAATTACACTTCTGATGTTAGGTGTTGATAGTTACCTGTTTTTGATATGGTTTTAAATTCGCTATTTGTATTCAATATGGAACTTGATGGCATGGCTGATAATGCTGCTGATGTCCGGGGATGTTCTAGTTCGGCCAAAACTCGATTATCCTGTTGGGAAAATATTAATGTTATGTGAATGATTTTAAGAGTGACAAAGAAAATTGCAATACACGAATCACACATAAAACGAAATAGGCTTCTGAATTTTCTCATTGCTGCAGAGCTAATTGGAAATTGTGAGTTTTTTAATATCTGGACCAAGACACGGGAAATGTAATGCCAGTTAAGTTCTTCAGCGAAAAGGAAAAGAATAATTCCTTTCCCCTCATCTTCAAAATTGTTTTTCCTTGATTAAACATTTTTTGTGTGAATTTAGAAAATCCCAAAACTGAACAATTTTGAGAATTTTGTTTCAAAATATTAAAAAAAAAATGTCAATTGTCGTACCCTTAAATTTGGTCTCAAAAAGGCCTGCATAAAGGCCACATTCCATATTATGCTAGAGTCATATGTAATTTTTCACAATTTACATTTAACACTTTTGTAGCAGACTTTTAAGCGCGCTCTGCTATGTTTTTTAAACTTAAACGTAACGCTAAACTTTATAATATATATACTGCACAAAGCCATATAACATATATGTACAGGGTGAAATAAAAAAACTGCAACAAAGACAAACGCCATATTTTTTACATTTTTTAAAATATCGGAAATAGCATCAACTTTTAGAATAAGTTTAGATTTGTTCGAATTGGTCACATTTGGAACGAATTATGGCCTGCAAATGGCTAATGTAACCATCACACGCTGCCCGAATGTTGCTCTGCGGTATTTTCGCCCATTCCCGGCGAAGCGCTTGCTTGAGGTGATCGACACTTTGGTATTTTTTAGTGCCAACCTTGCTTTCCAAAATACTCCAGACACAATAGTCCAATGGATTGGTATCCGGAGATTTGAGTACCCAAGGCTTTAATACACCCTCCAGAATATTTTCGTGATAATATTCGGCATTTATTCTGATGCCACGGTCGATTGGCGGCCCAAACCATCACCATGGCCGACGCTTGAGTTCTGGTGGCCAACCGAAGGTGCACATTTTCAGCTGACCTCTTTGGCAAGTAAACACGATCATTTTGTTTGTTTACAAACTGCTGGACATCGAATGTTTTTTTTCTCATCGGAGAAAACCAAATTCGCAGGTTCACCACTTTCGGACAAGCAAAGCAACTCCTTAGTTCTTTCGAGTCTATTTGCGGTGTGCGGTGCGGTGTAAGTTCTAGCACTTTTTGGAATGTCAATGGCTTTACCCCGAGCTCATTTTTCAATATTTGCTGAATGGAATATTGCGATATGTTCAGCTCACGAGCCATTTTTCGGTCACTGCGACGCGGGTTTCGATCAAGTCGAAAGTAAAGATACTTTCGAACCATTTCTGCTGATATTGCTGTTGCTGTTTTCTTCCGTCCACTTCCTTGACGTCAGGCTACGCTAGCAGTATTACGGTAACGAGCGATGGTACGAGACACAAAAGATTTATTCACTTTTAAATGTTGAAATGTTCTAACGATAGCCACTTGCTGTGTTCCAGTCAAATATAAATAAATCACACTATCACGCTTGAATTTCATCCCTTTTTTTGGAAAATCCTCACCAAAATGTTATTGTACGCCTGTAAACAATATAATGAGTTGTCACTGGAATAATTTTAACAGCTGTCGGACGAGTGGCTTAGAAATGACAGCAGTCTGAAGTTGGTTGCTGTTTTTTTTTCATCTCACCCTGTATTTACACAATTGTTATCACACAATTTGTTATCTGCTGCAAACATAATAATTGTAAAATTTACCACTTTAAATATGACTCTAACTCGATGTGGAAACTGACCTTTACTCGCTGGTTTAAAAATTAAAATTAAAAAGAAAAAAATAATTTGTTATTCCTGTCTCTTCCCCGATTTATGTACATTTTACGTCTAACGTAGGATTAAATTTTTACTATCAACGGCATGCGAAAATTCAGAACCTTATTTCCACAAATTGAAATCCACAATATATCTGAGCTGAAATGTTTTACTAATGTATTGAATATTAAAAGCAGTAATGTGGTTGGTGTGCCGCTCACCCTTTAAGTTTGAGCTATAAATACCTGTGATATAATTATATTGTGCAACAAATTTGTAAAAAAGTTTTAAGTTCTTAATCAGCTTCAAAACACCCTCAATAAAAATCTTAAACTGGTGACCAACCAACTTGGGATACGTAAGATCTAACCTGTGAACGTATTGATGATTCAAAAAGTTCATTTTTGTTAATTATTTTGATTGTAGTTACAGTCGCAAAGTCGAATTTTCTGAAACAATTTGCAATTCTCATAGATTTTTAGCGGACTTTTATTTTTCTACACCCAAAAAAGTATGCAATGATAACAATTCAAAAGCCCAACAGCGGGGCAATATTTGTATAAACTCCACAGCGTGAAAACCTAGTTATGACTGAAAAGGATATTCTCAAAACCGGAGGTAATCTACCCGGTTGATTGAATGGAAATTATATGCGAAACCGAGAAAACACCGAAAATCAGCAGATACCACCGTGTGGGCCATGGCTAAAAGTGAACTTAAAATGTCATATAATAGCTGATTTTGTGGAAAATAAGGGCCGAAACCTTCAAAGTGCTAAAAATTAGCTGGGACTGTTTGAAGGCAGCAACATTAAAAAGTGGATCAACATAAAATAGTTTTGGCGGGGTGTATTCTACCCATAAAGTGCCCCAAAAGGCGAAGATGTACCTTTACATGGGAGATTTTTACGCTGATCGTTATTTTATAGAAACTTAATAGGGTTTATGAAAAATATTACGAGGAGTTGCAAATGGAATGACAAATTTAAATGTACCATCCATTTTTTGGCCGAAGGTAAACAAAATCTAAAAGGATCTTAAAAATCGAAAATCGACTTTTTCGTTAAACTTATACAAAATTGGAACTTCGAAAAGAGTTAACGCTTAGATAAAGTCTGGCGAACTTTTTTTTTTTTTAATTTTTCAAAATGTTTGATTTTTCAAAAATGTTGACCATTTTTGTTGAAGTGCTAGAAGCGAACTTCATATTCAGACAAAAAACTAGGGAACTGATTAGGATTGGTGGCTCTTTCCGAAACCAAGGTATTGCCTGCCTTACCCCCTGGTAAACATTACCATCGTTCTCCACTAATAAAACGTTGTTTTTATAAAAACAACAATAAAGGGATTAAGCCTTACGATTTTGCAACAACAAAAAAAGGAACAAAGGAAATTTAGGTTGGCTTTGGCTCTTTGTTCTTTTCCGGGTCCCTTTACCTTTCATAACAGCTTTATGAAGATTTGTCGAAAATTGAAAGTATATACATTTTCCCGCTTATTCTAACATAGACAAAGAAACTGGGATGTGCAAAATTTTAAGAAAATCGGAAATTGATTTCCAATTTCAAAAGAGTTATTATTATTTAAAATATTGATATATTGTGAAGAGAGAAATATTGTTCATTTTCGTACCTGACCTATGTTTTATCTAAGTATTACGATGAGCAAAGTTTGAAATATTGGGCACTCTATTAGCCCAATATCAGGTTAATATTTTTTTCGATAGAACTCGATCTTAGTTTGTTAAAAATATTATTATGTACTTAGTTTGAGTTAAATCGAATACTCCCTTAACGGGATCCAAAAAGGCGAGAGTATCCTTAAAATATCGATCGATCGAAAACATCGACATAGTCCCAATTCGCCCATAGAAAGCTTTCCACAAAGGACATTGAGTTTTTGGAAGAGGATTTCAAAGAAGAATCAGCAACTTATTCAAATCCCTTCTTTCAAATCAAACTTATTTTTCTCTCCGCAAACTTTCTGTGTGCATAATGAGATTTATCCATTAAAATTAAAAATATTTCCGTGAAATACATAAAGCAAACGCAATAAAAGCTTGAAAATGTGAATAATCAAAACTAAAACTATTTTTTCTGACTTAATATTAATCGAGTGATTTGCATCGAAAGCATCGGGATATTCGGGGTGCATGTGTTTTACTAACTGTGTGACTTCATGAACCATTCATTCACTCATCGACTTGATAGACACACACACAAATTGTATTTTGACATTTGACAAAAGAAACGGACATACATTAGCTAGGGATAAACGTGCCTGTTCAATTTTAGCCATTATGATATCGATCTCTGAACCCTGATCTTCACGACCGATCGTTGGCGCCCAGGTCACGGAGGTGGTGGTGCCCGACGACACAGGTGGCGCACTCGACGAAACACCGCCGCCAATTGTCGAACGCATATCTGACATGTTGCGCATATCCGATGTGGCATTGCGCATATCCGAAGCAGCGCTGCGCATATCTGAGGCGGCATTTCGCATATCCATTTGACGCATTTCTGACATGTTTCGCATTTCGGTTAGACTGCGCATATCCGAGGCGGTCATGTTTCGCAATTCGGCCGCATTTCGCATATCAGACATATTTCTCATGTTGGAGGCGGCGTTGGCAGCAGCAGCGGCGGCCGCTGCATTGTTGCGCATCTCTTGAATGTTACGCATTTCATTTAAATTTCTCATTTCGGCGGCGTTACGCATCTCGGCCATGTTGTGAAGATCTGCCTCATTGCTGGACCGGGCAGATTTGGTTTTCATGGCAGCGGATAATTCAATTTGCAGTTCTTCGCACCGGACATTTTCCAAAGCAGCCTAAAGATGGAAGAAAAATGAAAGAGAATGGTGGATTAGAAGAGTGAAACGTGGTTAAAAATATAATAGATATATAGAACTGACATAGTAGGGTATGTTTAAATTTCAGTCCTTTATCGGAATTAGGTTAAATTGAAAAAAGGGCTACAAGTCTTTACGGACACACACATAAGACAGAATAGGCATGCTGTGCGCTCTAAAAAACTGTTTGTCATGTGGTGTTTTTAGATCCTCCACCATACTTTGCTGGGTATATTAACTTTGTCATTCCGTTTGTAACTCCTCGAAATACTCATGTCAGACCCAACAAAGTATATATATTCTTGATCAACGTAAAATTCTGAATCGATTTAACGATGTCCGTCTGTCTGTCCGTCTGTTGTAATCACGCTATCTTTCGAACGAATTGATATAAAAGACTAAAATGTTGCATGCATGTTTATTTTGCCAGCAGGCAGGTTAAGTTCGTTAATGGGCTGTGTAGGTAAACGTTTTCATATATCCCCCATATATCGGTACCTCCGGATATTCGGTATTTTGATGATTTTAGCGACATTATTCACCGGAATTATTTCAAACTTGGTATTTAAAGTTCGTAATGGATACTACACCCTATGACAGAAAATTGTCTGTGCAGGTCCACGTCTTATTTTAGCCCCCATATAACGATACCTGCCAATATTCGGTATTTTGATGATTTTAGCGACATTATTCACCGGAGTAGTTTCAAATTACGTATTTAGAGTTCATAATGGGAACTACAGTCTGTGACAGAATATTGTCTATGCAGGTCCAGTTCTTCGTATAGGCCCCATATATCAGGCCCAATGGATACTGCAGCCTGTGGCAGAAAACTGTCTATGCAGGTCCACCTCTTCGTATAGCCCCCATATAACGGTACCTCCCTATATTCGGTATTTTGATGATTTTAGCGACATTATTACCGGAATTGTTTCAAATTGTTTCAAGTTCGTAATGGATACTACACCCTATGACAAAAAATTGTCTGTGCAGGTCCACGTCTTATTTTAACCCCCACATACAGCGGTACCTCCCAATATTCGGTATTTTTATGATTTTAGCGTCATGATTCACCGGAGTAGTTTCAAATTACGTATTTAGAGTTCATAATGGGAACTACAGTCTGTGACAGAATATTGTCTATGCAGGTTCAGGTCTTCGTATAGGTCCCATATACCAGTACCTCCCTATATTCGGTATTTTGACGATTTAAGGTACAATGTTCACCGAAATTGTTTGAGATGTCGTATTTGAAGTTCGTAATGGATGCTACAGCCTGTGACGGAAAATTGCCTATGCAGGTCCAGGTCTTCGTATAGCTCCGATATAACGGCACCTCCCTATATAGTATTTTGATGATTTTAGCTATATTATTCTCCGTTTATTTCAAGTTTCGAATTTGAATATGAGAATGAGTTTCCAGGAGTAAAATTTAGCTGTCCAATTTGTTTTGTTGAATGTTTTAAGCTTGGTATGGTAGTCATCCCAGAATACTAAAAACTAACAAACCCTATTTTCTTTATTACGACCTCGGTTTGTCAGTTTATCGAAATAAAGTCCTCTATCATATCGTATATGAGACTTACGTCAAATAGATCCTTTTAGAACACTTATAACGATAAGGGACTATAATGTAAACATATTCATCGATTTGCCCTGGTTAGTGTGCCAAGTAAAATATTAACCATGTTCATGACAATCAAAACATCTCATGTCTCAAACTTACCTTTTTCTCCAATTCTCTGGCACGAGATTGTAAATTTTCTATGGCTTCGATATCCTGACGACTGCCCGAGGAGCTTAGTGTACGAATTTGTGCCAAGGTTTCCTGTAAAAAAAATCATATTTCACATTTCAGTGATTTCAATTTTTTTTTTCAGTTAATCCAAAACTAATTTATTAAATTTATTGCCACTTGAACGACGAACGCCTCGAGGCTTGCTCACCTGATGTGCTCTCTCGATTTCCGCACGACGCGTTTCCGCATCTCGTAATTGCAGGCTTAACGAGTCCATCATACCGTTACCGGTTGTCGTCTGATGCAGTTGTGTGTGGTGCATTCTTTCATATGGCATTCTCTGAGCAGATATGAATCTGCTACAAATGCCAGTTGGAGAGTTGTCCTTAGTTAATTGTGTATGGATGTGTGTGTGTAGATGTGGTCTATATTCTAAGGGGGCTGCAAAGAAAGAAGGACGGAAGGAAAAATATAAAAGATTAGAATCGGATAACAATTTAAAAAAATATTAAATTCTATAACCATTATTGAATATAGTTATCAGTGGACCCATTTCTCAGAAGAATTGAAATATGCTTGTTAACGTCAAAGTTTGCGCTACCTAAGATCTGGTAACTCTTCTGCTATTTTGTGTATTTTGCCTTTGTCGAATAATTCGTTAAGATAGCTTCCCATATTGCGCAAGTTTCAATAGGTCGTTTGGACTTGCAAATTCTACTAAACCAAATACACATACATTGTTGAACAATGACGGACAAGAAGAAGAGTAGTTCTCTGATCGTGTTGATGGGACACCATCGATGGGGTCAATTTCGATGTCATCATCCAAGGTGTTGGGCAGATTCTCAACATTTCCCTACATAAAATATTTACTGTATCATTGAATTGGAAATCTTTGCGTTTTCTTTCATTTCATGTAATATTGTCCTGTAATATTGTTTCTACGGATCGGTTGGTGAAATTCATCCCGACTACAACCGAATAGCGCCAGTGTTCCCCGACGTTTTCGATATTTAATTATGTTTTCCCATCCATTGAATTTTTAATCTGCTTAATTCACAAAATTATTAAATCTGCAAAATTAAATGGTAATTGTGTTTTATTCATGCAGAGGTACGTTCTCGTGGAATGGCTAAAATTTCTCAAAATAACCTGCGAAAAATGTATTTGATTTGTGGTACACGAGCATTTCTGCTCCAATTCTCAGGCAGAACTCTTCTTCACAAATAACAATTTTGAGATAAGACTGTTCAAAAGAAGCTCTCTAGAACAAATATTATCCTTCATCGTTGAAAAATACCAGTTAGAGCGCTGTTTTACCCCTGTGCTGAACATATCCGTATATGCTGGCCAAGATCTATATTGCCAACTACCTTTACAATCATTTCATGACTCGTCCCAACTTCTTCGCGTTTCCGCGAGAAATATATCATTAAACCAGGGCCTGCGCTTTCGTTATCAGCCTTTGATTATCTCAAGGGCCCTTATGCTTGGATGTAACTGGCAGATCCCAAATCAAATAAGTCCACTCACATTGGACTTCTTCTTGGTCCTGGTTAAAAAGTCGCAGACTTATTCGAGTCCTTGGTTTCTCTTGGCTAAACTAACATTTTTTGGTTGGGACCCAATAATCCGTGTTTACTGTAAGTTCTCCAAAGATGATCACCCATCATCTGGACATGTGGTCAATCTTTTGTTGTAGGAGGCAATCTTATATTGGCTCAATGATTCTACGACCATCATATATAATTTAAATACACAGTAAGGAAATGTCAAAAGTCGGGCGGGGCCAACTATATGATACCCTACACCACTGTGCGAATTTAGTAGACCTCACGTAACAAAAATGTTTATATTGGGAATTTATGTGAAGTAAATCCTACCAACTATGTATAGTGCATGATATGACTTCGATAAGCGTAACTTAAAAAAAATATATTAATTGGAGCAATAGATATATCGGACCGAATTTCAGCAAATGGTAAAATTCGGTTGAATATAAAAAACTATCCAATTATGGCTGATATTACATATGCAGGGTGAGATGAAAAAACTGTAACCAACTTCAGACTTCTGTCATTTCAAAGCCACTAGTACGTCAACTGATAAAATTATTCCAGTGACAGCTCATTATATTGTTTACAAGCGTACAAAAGCATTTTGGTGAGAATTATTCAGAAAACAAGTTATTCGTGATGGAATTCGAACGTTATAGTGTGATTTCTTTATATTTGACTGGAAAACCACAAAGGGCTATCGTTAGAGCACTTCAGCATTTAAATGTGAATAAATCTTTTGTATCTCGTACCATCGCTCGTTAGCGTGATACTGGTAGCGTAGCCCGAAGTCAAGGAAGTGGACGGAAGAAAACAGCAACATCAGCATAAATGGTTCGAAAAGTAAAGAAACGACTTGATCGCAGTGGCCAAAATGTCTCGTGAGCTGAACATATCGCAATAATCCATTCGGAAAATATTGAAAAATGAGCTTGGGGTAAAGCCATTGAAATTCCAAAAAGTGCATGAACTTACATCGCAACAGAAAGAAAATAGACTCAGAAGAGCTAAAGAGTTGCTTCGCTTGGCCGAAAGTGGTGAACTGCCGAATTTAGTTTTCTCCGATGAGAAAACATTTGTTGTCTAGCAGTTTGTAAACTAACAACATGATCGTGTTTAATTTGGCAGAAGTATTTTCGAGCAGTAACTGATGCGCAGTATCAAATATCATGTGAGGGACTTTAACAACAAATCGGATGAAAGATATATATGGGAGCTATAACAATATCTGAACCGATTTCCAACAAAATTTGAAGCACTTGCTTTCAGGATGAATTCCGTCGGAAGTGGCAAAATTTAGTCCATGTGGGCTGATATTAGTCATTTGGTGCACAAAAAACCTGATATCGGATAATGATACATATGGGAGCTATATCCAAATCTAAACCGATTTTGACAAAATTTTAAATACATATTTCTGATCTGTATCTGGTACCAAATACCATTGTTGCCGAATGCATATAACGAATATGAGGGACGTGGAACCCTAAATCTGATGGAACATATATATGGGAGCTTTAGCTATATCTGAACCAATTTTCATCAAATTTGTCGTACTTGGGTCATTTGAACTGATATTCGCCATTTGGTGCACAATTAACCCGAAATCGGTTGAAGATATATGTGGGAGCAATATAGCAATAGGGTTCATCCTTGGGCCAAAAATATTGTTTGGGAAATTTCATCTTAAAAAAATAATTAATTTTGTTCACAAAAATGCATGGACGGACTGACATGCATAAATCGACTCAAAAAGTAATCCTCAAAAGTAACCAATTTTTATCTTTAAAAAATTCTAATGATTTGTGTTTTATTTCTTTTTAACATAAGTACATTGCTATGCAGACTGGCAAGTTGCAAGTACCTATTTCCAATGTGAACGCATTTATTTAAAATTCTTCATTGATAACTTGGAGAACTTTTGTATGAGATGCACAGCATTTAACCTAACCTTGATATTATGTTCTACTTACGAAGATCATTCTTCTTCGTCGTCTTGAATTACAAACATAAATATTTAATTCGGTATTATCTAGAGTAGGTTATTATGCTGTTGTGTTTGACAACTTTGCATCAGACGAATAAAAAACTGTTCGAAAGGGGGTTAAGGTACTGTCGCCATCGTCGTCATCGACAGATGACAATGGCGACTATGATGATGTTGACGAGGATGATGACGATGATGTTTGAGATGACCTCAGTTGATTTGAAATAGTTTTGCTGGGTTAAGTTGATAACCTAAATACCGACATGTTGCATGTTAACGAGTATTAATTTAATATGACAAATTCAAGCATTTAAGTGAAAACGCTCGATAGTGTCTGAGCGAAATGTCTAAATGGAAAATAAAAATGTTTATGTGAAAATCGCTAAATTGATATTACTGGAGTTTTTACTGAACATACCCCACATAACATTATTTCTTATTATTTTCCATTCTTAATACTCTCTTTCTCTTGTTATGATAATAGTGTTTTTATGTCTAAAGAGTAAGAAGTATTAGGCAGGTTAAGTTCGCAAATGGGCCATGTAGGTACACTTTTAGCCCCCAGGTTCGATATTTTGACGATTTAAAAATCAAATTCGGTATTTAAAATTGGTAAATTTGTTGTTCAAAATTCTATATTTAGAATTTGTAAATAGTTCTACCTCCTATGACGGAGATTTGTCTATATAACTCCACATTTTCTGATGGACCTCGTATTTAAGCTATATTTTTAACGAAATAGTTTAAAATTCGGTTCATAGATTTCGTAATGGGTTCTACCTCTTGTGGAAAAAAATTGTCTGATTTCCCGAATCCCCCATATATAACTGTTCTTCCCGATATTAAGTACTTTGACGACTTAGATTCGGTTCATAGATTTCGTAATGGGCTCTACCTCTTGTAGAAAAAATTGTCTGATTTCCTGAATCCCCCATATATAATGGTACCTCCCGATATTAAGTATTTTGATGACTGTGATTACATTTTCAAGAGAATTGTGCAAAATTTGGTAATGGGTTACACCTCCTGTGGCAGATCATTGTCTATATAGCTACACGTTTTCCTATAGCCGCCATGTGACGGTGCCTCCTGATATTCGGTATTCTGATGATATAAAGCACATTATGTAACGCAATTGTCCTGTGCCAGATCACTGTTTATAGAGGTTCACGTTTTCCTATTGCCCCCATATTTCGATATTTCTCGATATTCGGTATTCTCATAAATTTAGTCTAATTTTTATGGGGAATCATTTAAAATTCGTTATATAGAGTTTGTAATGGATTATGTCAACTTATATCACTAATAAAGCGGTATTATAGCCACAGAGTATTTTCAAATACCAGATCTAGGTCTTTAGCTTCTAAATATGCCTGACTGCGGGGCAATGGGCCTACACGGACGAAGGCTTTAGACACTATTCTTTATATTCACTCACTAGAACGGTACGAAATGTATTAAAAGGCACTGAATATGGTACACTTTTGTATTTGAGGAAGTAGTAGAGCTAGAAATTTAATACGATGGTTACTAATGGAGTGCATGATAGATGTACTAGAAAGTTTTTGGAAATTCGAACTTTATATGTACGAAAAGTACTAAATGTACTACATTTTGGAATGACAAATAAGCTTGAGGAGTAGAGTCAATGTAAGGAGGTAGATTTGGAAATGTGTACTCATGAATACGAAAATTACTAAACAGTACTAAGTTTAGTACAATTTGAATTTGGAGAAACGAATGGAGCTGGAATTCTGAAATTTGAAATTAACATTACTGGCAGAGTGTAGGATTGAGATATGGGGGAAGTTGTTGAAATTTGTACTCATTTGCACGATAAGTTCTAAATGGTTCTAAATTTGGTACAATTTCGATTTGGGTGAACCTATAGAGCTAGA